CAATATTCATGGTGTTGTGTGTCCAACCAAATCTCCTCAGAAGCGGATGAAGTGATGTCTCTTTCAACAAGTACTCGAGCTTCAGATGGGCGGGAAAGACTAAAAGTAAGAATATCCGTTTCAAGTGGCTTACCCTATGCTGAGGCAATAGATTACAACATTTTTTGAGTGAAAAAATGAAATTTCAAACCAGGGAGACGAATCCAAACCGAAATGATTGGTGGTTTCGTATGTGGGTCAAAATCCACAGACCATTTCAGAATCTTTATTGTTCTGTTATCAATCCAGATAATCCTTCTAACAAATAAACGCGTGCAATCCTCTTCATTATTAAGTTGAATAAGAGTGTCTTCCATCTAAAAGTCCAATTTTTCACTCCCAACAAGGTGCATAAGCTCAAATTCCTTACAAATCAGCTCCATTTTGGGATGGACATACAAAAATTTCCTGACTAAATTCAGACTATAGTAGGAAGTAAATTGAATACCTTTAGCTTCTGTAAAAAAGATGGCAGATTTTTCATTCTTCCTACCAGGTTTCTTGATGTCTTCCTCTCACTCAAACGGAGTAAAAAAACTTGATTTAGGTGTACCTGAGGCTTGGGCACCCGCAAGGACAACAACATACGATCTGTCCGAAGCCATATGGAGGTGCGGAGAGCAAATTACAAAATCAAATAGGGAGCAAGGAGCGGAGGAAAGCCCCTCTATGAGCTGCAGACGACCAGCTAGCAACAGCTAAAAGACGCCCCAAACACCTTCTCGGGACAACGACGAGACGCAAAAGCCCGCGCCCAGACGTCCTCTTAGGCGTCCCTCAAAAGCCGCTGCGAGAGGCAACTAAGAGCAGCTGAAACGGGATGAAGAAACTCGCTGAACAAACGCCCCCGAGCCCGAAGACCTGTCGAGAGAGTCACTGAATCGAGACAACAGAGCCGCTGCGACGCAACGGAAAAAGACTGGTGATGAATGTCGTATGTTCTGATTTCGCTCTGCTAGGTTATCTCCATTATGGCAAAACCTGGTATCTCTTCGTCGATCTGCTCTTCGTCGTGCTTCCTCCTCTTGGTCGTGCTTCGTCTGTGTCGTGCGGCATCGGATTCTTCGTCGCGCATCGTCTCGGCTCTTTCACGCTCGAAGAAGAAGAGGTTTCTGTGTGCGGCATCGTTCTTCATCGCGCGTCTTTCGTTGTCAGCTGCGTCTCCTGTGATCGCGCTTCTGCGGCTCCCGGCTCGTCTCCTACGGCTCCGTCTTCTGTGGCCCCGCTTCCTGTTCCATAGCTACTGCTCCTTCTCAACCACCAACTACTTCAGTTTTAAACTTTGGGAAGGTTTCTTTTGTTGATATGGTTGGCTCTATCGGATCATATCAGGTTTTCCCTCAGGTTTACCATGAATCATTCAAAGTCTAGGAGGACTGTAACCTTATCAAGAAGACGGGTAGGAAGAGTATCAAACTGGCTCTATTCTTCTCTGATGTTGAAGTTTCCAACCTGGTTAACAAGTTCAAATTCAACTCGATTGGAAAATTCCAATCGGGACATCCCAAAATAGAAATCGTTAGAAAGACTTTCAAATATCTTAAACTATTGAGACTTTAAAAAGTTGGCCTCTTTGATGGGAAACATGTGATGATATAATTATCTAAAATGGAAAACTGTCAAAATACTTTCCAAAAATTTTATGACAATAAATAGAAAATATATGAAACGACTTAAGTGGTCTCCTGATTTTGACCATAGGTAAGAACCACCTATAGTTCCAATCTGGTTTAAACTACCTGGCCTAAAGTTGCACTACTTCAATCACCAAGTTCTCTATCATATTGGAGCTGCACAAGAGAGACCTATGAAATTGGATACACCCACCTTCAATCTAACCAGGCCTTCAGTTGCAAGAATTCTTTTTGAAAGGGATATCACCCTCCCTGATGTGGACGAAATATGGTTTGGTACTACCCACAGTGGGTATTGACAGCCAATTGTTGCAGAACAAAGACCCTACTACTGCAGTCACTGTAATTGTTTGGGCACACCCCTGTCAATGCTTCAGACTTTACCCAACATTTGAGATCGGCAGATCCTAACAACATCATCCAAGTACAGGAAAATATAGTAAACACTGTTAATCTTTCGGAAATGTTGAATAAGAATTTCACTCAAAAGACTACTCCTCACCAACCAGTCCAACAACTTCCACCTATTGTTGTTGAGGCAGCTCTTCCTTAGATTACAAATACTACGAATTTTGTTGTAGCAGATGCTAGCCCGAGTGGCTTGGAACCACCTATTGTGAGAGAATGGGGTACTCATGTTTTGGAGGAGTATCAGGATCAAGGTGTGCTGCAGGCTAAGTCAGATCAGCAGTTTACCTCCATCGAAGATCCACATATTGTTCAGACGGGACTACCTCTGACAGATGATTGACAGGTTTACAAATCTAAGAAGAAGAAAAAAGAAATGCTAGATCTCAGTAATTCTCAGGATGACTATCATAGTTTTGGGCGGAAGCCCATATCTCAGTATATTGCTGGACTCTCGCCCCAGATTTAGGTGAAGGGGAAGTGGTATATCCACCGACTACACCCACCATGATTAGAAGTTGTTTTCATTTTGTTATATTTTTAGGAGAATACATGTAGTTTTAATCCCTGTGAGCTAGCTCTTTGTACCCACTCACTAAAACATTTGTATCTTCTTTTATATCAATGAATTTTGCCTTTTCAATATATATATATATATATATATATATATATATATAAATGGCTGGATTCGGCTGCTCTGTCGAGGCTCTGCTAGGGTCTCGCTTCACGGCGAAACCCTAGCCTCTGCTACCTGTATTCCAAGCTCGTAGAAGAAGGGGAGTACGCTCCTCTGTTCCGTCGTCTGTTTCGTTGAGTTGCGCCTGTGCTGTAGGGCCAATCGTGATTGTGCTGCGACTGCTCGCTGTAGGGCCGATCGTGATCGTGTTGCGACTGCTCGCTATAGGGCCGATCGAGCTATGCCTATGCTGCTCGTTTTCTGCTGTTTCGACCAGTACACGTCTGTTTCATCCATCCTGCGCCTGTTCCCGCGGGTTCAACGACCCGACGCGCGTCGTCGAGCTGCATCGGATAGCACCATCTGGTTTTTTTTGGTTTTTGCATCTGCGGGCTAAAGGATCGTCGTTATGGCGCTTCCTTCTTTGGTTGATTCTAGCAAAGCTTTTTTCTCCCACGTGGTGGGTAATCATCTTGCGGAATCTACTATTGTCTTCCCCTCAAGCTACAAGGAATGTCGTGATGGTAAGAACGATTGCCCTTTTATTAAGAAAATAAGCAGGAAGAGTGAGAAAATAACACTATTTTTCTCTGATTCAAAAATTTCAACCCTAACTGAGAAATTCAAGTTCGCTTTTATTGAGAAATTTCAGTGGGGGCACCCACCTACGGAAGTTATCATAATGAGTGTTGATGATCTCAAACTTGTAGGCAAGCGGAAAGTGAGACTTTTGGATGGGAGACATGTGTTGATTCAGCTAACCTTAGTTAAAGACGTGTTGATTTAGTCAATGAAGTTACTCAAGTGGTCTCCTGATTTTAACCCAAAAACATGAGTCTCCTACTGTTCTGGTATGGATTAGTTTACCTGGCCTCAAATTACATTTCTTTAATCATCAGGTTCTTTATTCTATTGGAGTCATTCTTGGAGATCCTATGACGCTAGATATGCCCATGATTAACCTAACTAGGCCTTCTCTGGCCAGAATACTTATGGAAAGAGATATTATCTTATCTGATATTACTGAAGTCTGGCTGGGCACAACTCACAATGGATATTGACAATCAATTGTCATGGAACATAAACCTTTCTATTGTACCCACTGTAAGATGTTTGGGCATACACTTGATAAATGTCACAGGTTTCATCCAAACTTGAAAGCTAAAGCTCAAGCAAACAAAGAGGAGTCTAACCCCATTGCTATGGACACATCTGCTCAATCTGTTCCCACAAGACAGGATTTGCCTATGGACCCCCCTTGCCAACACAGCAATTCCTGATGAAGAACACCATACTACAAGTACAGATCCAAATGTGTTTATACCACTCAATGTTATTGAAGAAGACCTACATACATGTCATGACACACGAGAATGTTCCTGCTCTCCTGATTCAATAAAAGATCAGCTTGTACAACAAGTAGTTGCTTCTAATATTGAACAACCTACACATGTTTGACACAATTTAGACCAATCCACTGACCAGGCGAGTCAATCTTTGAATGAGGAATGACAAGTCTATTCCAGGAGAAAAAAGAAGAATGGAGGCAGACTCGAGCTCGGGAATTTATTGAATGATACATTGGTTACTACTGGCAATGACACTCATCTTACCAATTTATTAGCTGACTCATTGTCTAGAACTAGAGGCAGATGCAAGGCAAAATTGGGTCGCTCTTTAGTTACCTGATAATCCGAATTTTGATACTTTTTTATTTTATTTTCTTTAGGTTTCTCATGTATTTTTTCGTATTTTCTCTTTTTGGAACCATTTGCATATGGTGGTATCGAGTGGGCAGGGTGCCATGTTTGGGCCCTCCTACATAATTTATCTGTATCCTACTTTCTTTTTAATATATTAGCCAGTGTGCATGTGTGTGTTTGTGTGTCTATATGTGTGTATATATGTGTCTGGATGTATGTATGTGTGTATGTGTGTATGTGTGTGTATATATTTTCTTTATGATTTGTAAGCTCCTTTTTCTTATTGGTCACATTATCATGAATGACAAGTAATAATTATTATCACGTATTAGTTAAGGTTATATATATATTGTTGCATTTGATGGACTCAGGTCTTATATTTAGTGCTCCGCATATCAGTAAATGAGCCAAGCACAAACAAAATTTGCCAGCTTCTTGATGGGCTTAAGAACAGGAGTCATATTTATCATAGGTTTATATGTACACACTTATGCTCAAACTAAGGTGGAAGTGAATTTCTAACTTGTTGCAGCTATTTACCGTACTCCTGCAGTGGATCTTGCATCTTCGTCTGAGAGAGATTAGTTTAGAGATTTCATGTCGATAATGTGAGAATAAATGGTCATAGAAGACAGCTGGTGTGCCAGGATGTGTCAAGATGTAGGCATATCCTTGCATTTCCTTGCCTGATGGGAATCTCCAATGACCCTGCAAAAAATAAACAGAGAATAACAGTAAACTGCTGAATATTTAACGTTGTAGAACAAATGTGAAGTAACCACAAAAAAACAAAAAAAACAAAAAAAACAAAAAAAAAAAAAACAAAAAAAAAAAAACCAAAAAATTAAACATAACCAAAAAATTAAACATTACAAGATTACAAGTGAAGCCTTAAGCTGAATTTTGTGCAACCATTCGAAAATAGCATGAAAGCAGAGAAGCGCCAAAGATGACTGAACTGCCCACCCAACCTTGCTTCAGTTTCTAAATGCGAAACTTGCCAGGAAAAGAAGGTCATGCCTAGTCAAACTTCTCACATAAAGCAAAGAAGAATCTTTTCAGGGAAAATGCATAATCTACGGGAAGGTGACTCGCACGAAGATAAATGATCATTTTTCAGAAATAAAATGGTAGCTTTCTAGGAATGGTTATAATAACAATGGGAAACCAATTTAATATAGTGAAATGTCAGAAATTTGAACAAATCCATGTATTTGAACTTTATCTAATCCTAAAAGAAACCTAAATGTTTAAATCAAACTCCACATTAAAATGGCAAAAAGCAATTCACTATTACCTGAGTAGAACCAGTATCATGATTCTCTATAAATGTTACTGCACGAGATGGCCACCACCCAAGTACCCCAGGTGGCTTTCCTTTCACATCAGACAAGCGCCAATATTCACATTTTTCCAAAGCCTAATAGAAGAAGAATCACTAGTTAAGCTCTCATGTCACAAACACTCCAAACATTATTAATTATAAACTCTCTTGTCAAGCTGATCAATTCAAGTTCATAAATTAAATGGAAGATTCAAAAAATGGAAACTCTAGATCTAGTAAAGAGAGTTCTTAAGAGATGATAACTGACATTTGCTATTCAAATATTTATTAATCAATCTATGATTTAGAATGGATGCAAATGCAATCAATTCAAAACATTTAGGGATATAAACTAAATGGATCGAGCATGCAGCATTTCACAAATAACCAATCTTATCTTGTTTGGCTTCAAAAACAGTTATTTGAATGATAGTGCTAAATGAAAACCCTATGCCAATAAGCATCTGCCCCTCAGTTTTAAAATAGGAAAAATCCCCCAACAGGTTTATCTAACAAATGAATATATGTCCATCATATGATAAAGTAGACTCAATAAGATGACACTGAAATGATCCATGGTAAAAATTTCCAATATAAGGAAATAGTGCATAAGGTGTATGAAGCTCTAGCAAACTATAGGTTAATTGAAGGGTTTGATATATACAACCTTATTCCTATTTTAGTACAGAAATTGTATTTGTGAGTCAACTTCTGATCTCTGGATCATTATGGGAGCAATACACCCTGGTCGGTCCTACAAAATTAAATATATATCTACAAAGCAACTGTGGGCAAGAAAAGGCCTAGCAGGAAGGATGGCCTATTTCACTAAAGATTCAAGTCCAAAGTAAGCATACAAAAATGATAATAACCAAGATTCTTTTAACTATTTCTGAATGTAAAAGGTAATATAATGTCTGCTTAACAAAATATTCTCTTTTGAAATTCAAGACATGAATTCGGTTTTTTTGAAAACTTTGAAAAAAAGAAAAACAAAATGTATACACGTTCAAATTATCTCACTTTATAATATTAAACGATAAAAAATACATTAAAAAGTGATTTGATGTGGCGGACTAAAAGAGGATTATATTTTTAAAGGAATATAAGAGAGCTGAAGAAATAGAGTACAAAAGAACTTACCGTGTGAAGGATTCCTTTCGTAGTGACATCGAAGGCGCCAGATGTTCCATTTGTATCATTTATCCAATCGATAATCCTCTGCCTGTGTGCATCTTGATTATATTCCATTACACCATATTCATAGCTGAGAGAATCCCAGTACTCGCCTACACAAAAATATGGTTCACTTGCTACAATATAATCTTTGACATAACCACCCCAAAATCCTCGAACAAAGTCTAATCTCCATCCATCATAGCCAACTTCTTTTCTGAACCAAGTAAACAAAGATATTAAACATCACAAAAAGGCTTTCATTAAATCAGGATTAACATTCAGAAGCTACTAAGGATTGTAGTTATTTGAAGTAGAGTGTAATCTAATATTACAGTTCTATGCTACGCCAGTGCAATCCATTCAAATATTGCTCGTTAAAATTTAGGGGATTTATTGAAAGATTGCATTGCCATAAAGAATAATTGACGGTTATAATAGCTTCCCTTTTTCACATTGGTTTTACCAATCAAGGAAGGTATCTTCATTTAAATTCATGCTCTAAATTTAATATGTAAAAAGAAAAAAGGTAATATCTATTGCTATAATAATATTGAACTCAAGATGTCAGCAAACAAGCAGCCCCTCTGGACACCAACATCATCTCCAAAGTAAATAGACCACAAGAACAACAACAACAACAAAGCCTTAATCCCACTACACGGGGACGGCAAAATGAATCTTTTTTCTCCATTGCATCCTATTTAGTGTCATATTTTCATTTGGTTCTAATAAATTAAGATCATTTTTTATACAATAAGCCCAAGTCTTCCTAGGTCTACCTCTGCCTTTCTTAACATAAGTCGAATGTAAAACATCTACTAATTAATCTCCAACTCTATTAATTTTTACAACATTGTCATTCAAACTCTTATCTATAATTACACCTACAACATTTCTAATGCGACTCTTTCCAGAATATCAAAGTTTAAAACCTAGGTTATCAATCTACTTAGCCTTTTCTCCAACCCATTTAGTTTCTTGAATACATAAAATATTAATCTTTCTATGAATCATAATATCAACTAATTTCATTAATTCAACATTGGGAGTATCTATATTCTAAGATCCTATCCTAAAATTAATTTCATTAGTTTCATAGACTAACTTTTTTACCCGCATCCATCCGTAATGTGGAACTCCGACTATTTCATAGACTAACTTTTTTACCCGCATCCATCCGTAATGTGGAACTCCTGCTTATTTGACATTACACCCGGGTACCAGTGTAGCTGCACATGCACAATTTTCACTATATTCAGGCTATACAGCGTGTCGCTTCCAAAAAACGTCATAGCACTTACAGAATGATAAAAAAGATTCATGTCATGATTTTTTCAACAAGTTTTACGCTGGTTGTCAACTACCTAACGCAACCCTCCACTTTTCACATTCTAAGTAAATAGACCAATGGGAAAAAATAATAGTTTCCAAGAATTCTATAAAAAAAGGATACAAAGTCATAAAATTAGCAAAACAAAATTAGATAAAAAATGAACAATACCAAGTAAAAAAAGAAATCCATAATGCTAGTGCTTCAAGGAATCAATTTGTAAAATAGGGCACATTAGATCGAAAGTCATTTACAGAAAATAAAAAATTCAGAGAAAAACTTCAAAAAAATAATCAGTATTTATACTCTTGAACACTTCTTTTGTTTGGGATGAAATATGACAAACCATCATAAGTCCTTACTCTTTAGTAATGCAAAACCAACCAAACAGCTCAGTTGTTTTGGCGATGGATTATGCAGTGAATATGAAGGCTTATATGGTTTTTTATATATATTTGCTACTCAATTGGCTGCTTTGACAAGTGAATTGGTCTATTGCATTGTAGTTTTTAGGTGTTAAACTACGTTAGCAGATGGCATTCCGTCTATTTCACTAGTTACGGGTCTGTTGCAGGATCCACAACGAGCCTTCAGCAGGTGCTTGACGATAAAAAAGATAAGAGTTTATGGTTATCCTATTCTAGCAAATTAGCGGCTCGCCTTCAACAATGAAAGGCAAAACTTTTACAGCTTTTAAGCAAGGTTTGCTAACTTGTGGCTGTCCTTTTTTATTTTTAAGAAAATTTCATTAGAAATTATTATTCTAAGTAATAGTCTTTAGCTTATAGAAAAGATATTCCCGAGAAGAAATGGCCAAGAAAGTTGAATCTTTTATCCTTTCAATAGCTATTTATATACAAAACTACACAAAAAGAAAAAAGAACGGAAATAAATACTTACAATGATTAACACAAAAAACTGCCATTTGAACATTCAAGAATTGCAATGTCAAGAGAGTAAAATGTGGGCTCATTCTTTCTTTCTTTCATATGAAACAGCGAGTGGTATTTACTTACAAGCAATGAATCAGTGACCTCTAAATTTCCTCATCTAGCTCTTCCCCTAGCCCTTCTTAAACCAATGGCCCTTCAACACTCCCCTTCAAACTCGATGGTAGAGATCCAAAATTATAAATTTAGTTAAAATATCTATAAATGAGGGGTTGCTAAGTTCTTTTGATGAATATATAAACAAGTTACCTTCTTGTTCAGACATCTGAAGCACAAATCAACCCAACTTGTAGTTTACATGTGTTATAAAACAACTATCCACTTCGCATGTTTGGTTCGTTCATGTTGTACAAATCAATCCACTTGGTAGTTTATCAATTCACTAGGTTAGCTACTTATTAGACGCTGGTAATGATGTCAACTGATGTGGCACGTGCCATGTCAACGGCGCCTAGGTGCCCATCTGACACTGTTCAAGGCCTCAATAATTGGAACTTAACTTGTTGGTTGACATGGCACATGCCACATCAACCGTTCCTAAGCTTCCTGACACTAACTCAATGGCGCTTGTACTGGTTTCTAATATACGGAGGTGGTAATAGGATGTCCTCTGACTTGTCGTAGGACGTAGTGTATGCCATGTCAGTGTCGCTGTAGCGCCCATGATAGTACCTACGAGCTAGTTAGAATAGGTCGATGGAGGTATTCAATCGCTGGTTGAAGTGGTGTTTGCTACGCCAGCAGCGCCTAGGGGCAACCAGAGAGCTTGGTGAGTTTCCTCCTGCGCTCTCCTCTTCCCATTTCGAGCGGTCGATCGCAGAGCCTCGTGTCTTCATGGTTCGAGTGCTAGTTGAATGCATTGAACCTCTTAATACTTTGTGGTCAACAACAACCATCGCGTAGGTGAAATGTCCTGAAATCCTTGCGTTATCATTCTCTAGAGTTTTAGGTTTTGTGTTAGAAAACTCAGGGTATGTTCTATTTTAGAGGAAATAAAGGCTAGTTTCTCTCATTTCCCCAACTTACCTCATATTTCGAGTGTGTCTCCTAAGTTTACGGCCCTTAGTTTAGCACTGGTGCTACAGTGCCACCCTCAGGTGCAGTGATGTAGTCCCCATTCTTTTAGAACTAATACCTCAATTTTGTGTATTGGCACTTAAGTGCTAGTCTATCCCAAGTAGCGGCTCATCGTTACCGCAGTAACGATGCATTGTCACCCTACTCGACTATGTGAGGTGTCAAAGTGTTGTATCCCAACATTGCAATGTTGGTATCAATTTTACGCCTAAGACAGCAACGTCGTTCTTAATGTCGCAACCCCAAATAGACTTTGTTGGTTTGGGGCTCGCATCGTAGCGCCCATGTATGACACCAAAGCGCTAGCCCTTGTGAGGCTCTCTGCCTATCAGTCGAGCACCACGACCTTGTTGGTCAGATTCGTGGAATCACACTTTTTGTTCCCAAGGACATAGTACACTCATTTGGAGCGGCAGCACTTAGGCCTAGCCGAGTTCGTTTTCCTATCTCGCGAAAACATAGTCAGTGCACATCTTTTGTTGTGGTACATTGGCCATTTTCCTTTCTTGCAAACATGTAGTCGATGCTCCGCCTTTGCTGCAGTGCAACAAACACAGGTCACCCTACCAATTAGTCGGGTTCTACTAAGCTGAACATTTGGTGGCTCTAGAAATTTATAAATCAAGACAAGCCAAGAATTTTTACCCACGGGTCCTCAGTACACTCTTTCTTTCGTTTGGGTGGCAACCCACTTGTCGGCTTTGCTCTGTTAGTCAAGTTCGATTGTTCTAAATAAATGAGTCTCTAATATTTATAATTGGAGACTTGGGAATTTGTATCTCAAACAATTGGTACACCCTTCTGCATGAGTGGCGGTTCTTCGGTCCGACTTATCGACTGGATTTATAATAATCTCATTGTTACCGGCTTGCTCATTATATGTTTGTTTCATCCATTTCGTGTTTACCGATTCAGACCATCCAATGAGGCGTGTAGGATAATGCTTAAGCCCTGCCATTACTTAGGGGCGGGTGTCTGTATATAAGGTTTTAGAGCATCAACAAAGTCCCTCTATTGATCTAAGGATCAAAGGGAGTCGCATTTTGGCGCCCTAGCGCCAGCCTCTTTGCCTCTGGATAAAAGGGGCTACTCCGCAGTTGTGCTGTCAAGATATTACAGTGGCATCCCTTTGATATGACTGGCATCTATTTGCATTATATATTTTCATACACATGCATCTTTGGAGTCATTTTTAACTTGTCTCATGCAAGTCATTTCATATTTGTTATGTTGCATACTTGATAAGCATTTGTTGCATGTTGTATGATTTGCCACCCTATAATTGGAGTTACAACGGTTGGCACCACTACGCCAACCCCATTCATTTTTATGATAGAAGGTGTGTATCCTAGGATTGTTCAAAAGACCTGTGATGCCATCTTTCTAATTCAATGTTGCATTTTGCATGTGTTATGCGACCCCTTGTATACCTGATAGTGAGTTTGCATCTGTATTTGTCACTTGCTTGATGTCAAACCCACTTAGTGGGATAAAAGGGATATAGATGGATCGATTATTAGTAGAATTCAAGATGATTGGCTGAAGTGGAGGAATGCTTCGGGCCTATTGTTTGATAGAAAAGTACTGCTTACAATTAAAGAAAAATTTATGAAATGGTGGCGAGACCTGCAATGCTTTATGGGCAAAATGTTAACCTATAAAGGAGAAGCATAAAGCAAATTTAAGTGTTGCTGAGATGACAATGCTAGATGGATGAGTGTCTTGGCACATAGAGACAAAATGTGAAATGAATCTACCAATGAAAATGTTGGTGTAGCTCCAATGGTAGACAAGATTAAAGAGTCGTCTTAGATGGCTTGGTTACATTAAACGTCGACCATCTGATGATACGATTAA